GGAACAGAACAGACGCGGAGAAAGCGAGGCAGGCTGTGCGCGAGTCTGCAAAATTTGAATAGTTAAAATAACACCAAAGCTGGGCGTGTGGGTGCAGTAGTTTGCTAACCCGTCTGCGCGTGCCACAGCCCAACTGGCACCTCGCGTAGTCCGCCCCCTCTCAGCCGTAAGATCGCCCTTCTTTTCTGACCTGCCCTTTGCGACTGCTGTTTCCTACGGCATTTTCTCTCTTCCCGGTCGAAGCAAACTTTTCATGCGGTTAAGTCCCTCTCTCTCAACTTTGTCTTTCAGCTACATCACCTGTTTGGCAAGTGCCGGCTACGATTTGGGCACTCTGCGACGCGCGACTCCAGAGGATTTAAACGCCTGTGGCATTACCAATCCCCGGGACCGTCAGCAGCTGAGGACCAGACTTGCTCGTCTGCAGTTGCCCGAGAGTCTGCCAGACAACGTTCCTGTAAGTAACGATCCGTTCACGCGTAACTGTCGTAAGTAAGGCCTGCCAACATCGTTGATTAATTGATGTAGCGCTACTTTTGGCGGGGAAAAAACTTAACTTGTCCTATTTGATCGAACTAACCCCCAACGAATGCTAATGCCGTAAACGCTATGTGTGGAAACTGTGACTTAATTATGCAACGATACCGAATGAAATGACAAGGTAACTAGAAATATGTTTTGTCGGAAGAAACATTTGGTAATCAATAAAACGAAAATGCGAGTCCCGGGAAGTAACCCCGAGAAGACAAGAACTTTATTCGTCTGAGGATTTGAGTACGTCATATGTCAATCGAAGAATGCGCCTGATTGAAAGCAAATAAATAGGGCAACTATGTTGTTTCCCGTAGGCCTACGAAATTGCCAAAATGCCTTCAACTCTGCGAAAATTTTGTTTTAGTTCGTTGAACACCGGAAATGTGGATACACACGTTTTTTCAGGCCCTTTATTTCGCAAGGTTATCATGTTACTATTACATTTTCTCATTTCCGACGTCAATTTTTCGCACCTTTTGCAGCCGTCAGTTTGCGAATGGCTGTCTATGCTCAACTTGGGTGTCTACTGGCCAGCCCTCCAGTGTCAAGGATTCACCACCTTTGAGCGAATCTCCGCACTCACCTGGGAAGACCTCGAAGAAGTTGGTATCAGCAAACTTGGTTAGTATGCTCCCTTTGCCGATAGCCTTCTGACATTTCTAGCACGCGACTTCCAATCCATGAGATTTCGAGTAGCATCGTTATTTGCAAGGTGCTAGGAAGATAGGGCTTATTAGGACCGCAGGACCGGTCGGCAAACGTACGCTTTCGGCACACTATTTGACGGCTTCCCAAATCAGAAGTCAGGAGTGACAGGGAAGATTGGACCACCTTTTAATTCGCAAGAAAGGAGCTTTACATGGGACTCTGCAACGCGCTAGCTGGCAGCTGTTTTCAGACAAGTTATGTCAGTGCATGTCGCCTTTTG